TTAAAATAGTTAATAAAAAACACTATAACTTAATTAAAAAAGCGTTTTTTAAAGCCGCGAAAAAAGCACGTTAATAATATTAAACTTTTATATTAAAATACCTAGAAATTTATAACGAAAAGGGTGTATATTTTAGGCGAAGAGGTTAATTAAGTTATTAGATTAGAAATTAGGCCGCGTTAATAATCAAGCCGCGTTAGTAATAAGCACCACCTTTAGGTGGTGAGTGAAACGAGGCCCCTAAAATAGTGGGGCGTGGCACGAGTAGTAGTTCGTCGAATGAGGTGCCGCCGATATGGCGAAGGGGCGTGTACATAGTGCAATGTGGGTCACGTGATATGGCCCGCCGCTTCTGTCGCCATTGACCTCCTCTGCATTGATCACATCAACAACATCACGAATCACCGGCTACCGAGATACGACAGTCCGTTCGCACCATACAAAACGCAATCGGGCCAGGCCAAAATGGCAATTATTCGACACTCTGTTGCTCCGCTGCGAGCGGTGCGTTGCGCCCGCCAGCCCATCGCTACCAGACCCTTCTCCGTAACCTCCCGACGGCAAGGCGGCGGCCACGGCGAGTCACAATTCGAACCTCCTACCGGCTGGCTCTGGGGTATCAAGCCCGGCGAGAAGCCGGAGCCCGAGGGTTGGGAATGGCCCATGTACCTTTTCTGTGGCAGCTTGCTTGCTGCCGGTGTTGCGCTGGCCTTTAAGCCCGACACATCGTAAGTCCCTCGAACCCCGTTATTCCGATGTGGTCGAATTCTCCGCCGCGAACTACAACGACACCAGGTTGGACAAGGACTTCTCGATAAAATACGAGGTAGCAGAATTGCTATATCGGAGAGTTCCTGATCGTCTATGCCGCGTGGTTCTTCCTGGAGCATCGACCCTGTGGGGGACTTCGTTTACTAACGGGGTTGCAGTGTCTCTACTTGGGCCCTCGAGGAGGCCCGACGGCGATTAGAAGCAGAGGGCGTCCTGCCGGACCCCAGCAAGGACAAGAAGGAATAAACTGGCGGCAGGGGATGACGAAGGAAGGGATAGACAGGCGGATACGTTCGACGGGAGTGGAATCCGGGGCCCAACGCGGCGTCAAACGCCAACATGTACATGCTTCAAGGGCCTTCTTTTGTTTTGGGCAAAGATAAATTCCTTCAATGGTACGACGCATTAGACTTCTTTCTCAAGTTTCTATCAAATGCTGGCCCTACGTTACGCTATAACGCTCTTGTGCAACTTCTTGTTGTTCTCAACATGGTGACGAAATACTTGCCCAAACGCCCCGTTTTCATAGTCGTTCAGACACGATGGGCACGAAACTGATTTCTAGTTTGATCAAGTTGCTACGTTAGGTGTCCAAACCATATATACATGTGCACCGAGCGCCTCACTTCTAGTCTATTCTATCAGAATTCAAAATTACGCAATCTTAACGCTCCAATCATGTTCCTCTTCACCATACTGAATAGCTTCTATCCATTCCTTGACACGCAAAGCAGTCTCGCCAGACTCCTCGGTCTCTTTCAGGCCACAGTCGACATGCTTTCCCTTCCAGGCAATGGTTCGGATAGGGCTGACAATGGCAGCGGTGCCGGCACCAAAAGCCTCCACCAACCGACGCATTAGGTTAAAAATTAAGCCACGTTAATAATCAAGCCGCGTTAGTAATAAGCACCACCTTTAGGTGGTGAGTGAAACGAGGCCCCTAAAATAGTGGGGCGTGGCACGAGTAGTAGTTCGTCGAATGAGGTGCCGCCGATATGGCGAAGGGGCGTGTACATAGTGCAATGTGGGTCACGTGATATGGCCCGCCGCTTCTGTCGCCATTGACCTCCTCTGCATTGATCACATCAACAACATCACGAATCACCGGCTACCGAGATACGACAGTCCGTTCGCACCATACAAAACGCAATCGGGCCAGGCCAAAATGGCAATTATTCGACACTCTGTTGCTCCGCTGCGAGCGGTGCGTTGCGCCCGCCAGCCCATCGCTACCAGACCCTTCTCCGTAACCTCCCGACGGCAAGGCGGCGGCCACGGCGAGTCACAATTCGAACCTCCTACCGGCTGGCTCTGGGGTATCAAGCCCGGCGAGAAGCCGGAGCCCGAGGGTTGGGAATGGCCCATGTACCTTTTCTGTGGCAGCTTGCTTGCTGCCGGTGTTGCGCTGGCCTTTAAGCCCGACACATCGTAAGTCCCTCGAACCCCGTTATTCCGATGTGGTCGAATTCTCCGCCGCGAACTACAACGACACCAGGTTGGACAAGGACTTCTCGATAAAATACGAGGTAGCAGAATTGCTATATCGGAGAGTTCCTGATCGTCTATGCCGCGTGGTTCTTCCTGGAGCATCGACCCTGTGGGGGACTTCGTTTACTAACGGGGTTGCAGTGTCTCTACTTGGGCCCTCGAGGAGGCCCGACGGCGATTAGAAGCAGAGGGCGTCCTGCCGGACCCCAGCAAGGACAAGAAGGAATAAACTGGCGGCAGGGGATGACGAAGGAAGGGATAGACAGGCGGATACGTTCGACGGGAGTGGAATCCGGGGCCCAACGCGGCGTCAAACGCCAACATGTACATGCTTCAAGGGCCTTCTTTTGTTTTGGGCAAAGATAAATTCCTTCAATGGTACGACGCATTAGACTTCTTTCTCAAGTTTCTATCAAATGCTGGCCCTACGTTACGCTATAACGCTCTTGTGCAACTTCTTGTTGTTCTCAACATGGTGACGAAATACTTGCCCAAACGCCCCGTTTTCATAGTCGTTCAGACACGATGGGCACGAAACTGATTTCTAGTTTGATCAAGTTGCTACGTTAGGTGTCCAAACCATATATACATGTGCACCGAGCGCCTCACTTCTAGTCTATTCTATCAGAATTCAAAATTACGCAATCTTAACGCTCCAATCATGTTCCTCTTCACCATACTGAATAGCTTCTATCCATTCCTTGACACGCAAAGCAGTCTCGCCAGACTCCTCGGTCTCTTTCAGGCCACAGTCGACATGCTTTCCCTTCCAGGCAATGGTTCGGATAGGGCTGACAATGGCAGCGGTGCCGGCACCAAAAGCCTCCACCAACCGACCATCCTGAGAAGCTTCATGCAGATCGTTCATGGTGTACTTACGCTCAGTGACCTTCCAGCCCTCGGGGACAAGACGCTCGCGAGCCAATGCAAGGACGGAGTCTCTGGTAACACCTTCCAAAATGGTACCGTCAAGAGGGGCAGTGATGAGCTCCTTCTGACCGGTTTTCTTGTCCTTCAGAACGACAAACATGTTCATGGTACCGACCTCGGTGACGTATTCCTCTTCTCCAAAGAGCCACAAATTCTGTTGGTAGCCACGGCTAGCAGCCTGCAGCTGGGGCACAATGCAAGGGGCGTAGTTGGCGCCGAGTTTCTTATCACCAACACCGCCAGGCCAAGCTCGCACAGCGTAGTCGGTGGCCTCGAGTGAAACGGCCTTGAAGCCAGTAGGGTAGTAAGGTCCCACGGGGGAGGCAATGACATAGAGCAGCGCAGAGCCAGGAGGACCAACACCAAGGGTCCTCTGGGTACCAATCATGGTAGGTCGAAGGTAGAGTGAGTAGCCCCGCTGGTTAGGGATGAAGCGTGAGTCAAGGTTGACCAACTTGCTAATGAGCTCGATGAAGCTGGTGGGCTCAAAGGTGGGAAGGGCGATACGGGAAGCGGACTTGTTCAGACGGGCCATGTTCATGTCTGGGCGGAACAGGCGGACCTTGCCGTCCTTGTCCTTGTACGCCTTCATTCCCTCGAAACACTCAAAGGCATAGTGAAAGACGCAGGTAGCAGGGTCCAGGGATAGGTTCTGGTATGGGGTAATTTTAGGGTCGAGCCAGCCATCTTCCTGAGTCCACTCAATGGCAAGCATGTGGTCTATGAATTGACGGCTGTCAGAATGTTCTCATTCCCCAAAACATAAGGGAACAAATTGGTTGGCAAGACATACCAGTAAACTCGCGTCCAAAGACAAGGTTTTCGGGCTGGCTAAGCGGCTTGGGGTTGGAGGTCTGAGTGATGGAGAGTCTGTTGGGGTCGAGAGCCTTCTGCTTGGAATCCGAAGCAGCTTCGGCCTTGATGCTAAAGAGACGAAGGGGACGAGAGGCTTGGAGCATCCGTGAGGACCTGCTGGCGGCCCAGACGGCGCTCCGCGCAAAAGTGGCGGCTCTCATCGGTGATGGTATGGGCGTGCAGCCGAAATCTTATGCGTAGTATGGTACAGTATTGATTCGACCGAACAGGCAATGGAGGAGGACTCGGAGGGGACTGGTCGCAATATATATACACGACGCCAATTGGACAGTCGTGAGGGGTTGTACTGAGCAGGGGATTATAGTTTGAGGTTGTCGTCGAAGTGCGGTCTCTCGACAAAAAAAAAATAAGCCGGGCCTCCCCCAGCAAGGGTGCGCAGGAGTGATGGAGTACCGGTACCGGAGATCTGGGCCAGTTGCAGTCAGTGATGTGCTGCGTGCTCAGGTTGCATGGCAGCGCGCTTGCCCCGGTTGACCAGTTGATAGGCCGCGCGCCCTTTGGCCTCCGCCGGGCTCCGGTCCAGCGGGCCAGAGCCGAAGGTAAGCGCCGGGGTTTAAGCAAGAGTGCGCTGGTACCGGGTAGGCGGCTTTGTCTTGGCCAAGCCTCTTCTTTGTCAGACCCTCAGACCCTCGGACTCTCCGACCTGGAGACATCTGGACACCAACTATGCCGCGGGATACACGCCAACAAAGGGGCAGGCATATGGAAGCTTTCCCTGATTAAGTTCTTGAAGCACGACTACAACGGAGCTCTTTCGAAGACGAATACTGCTCTGGATTCGTCCAGCCCGGACGCTGCTAGCTAGCCATCGCACTGCTTCTATCAATCGCAGCCCAGCTAACTGCCCACCAGCATCCACCTCCGACTGCAGACCACCGACACCTCGACGACATGATATCACAAGCCTATGACTCGCACCATCCGTGATATACACCATGTTCACCTCGGCGCTTAAGTCTTTTTCTGCCACCAACATCACCGCAAACTACTCCACGTCGGAGCATCCCACCTCTTCCGCCGGTCCTTGGAAGATTTATGATGCCACCAAGAAGTCCACTGGCAATGCATACAGCGTCTTCGTCTTTGACAGGAGGACGTTATCGAATGGCAATTCCCTAGGCCGATCCGGGGCAGCCGGCTTCAAGCGCACTGTGGACGAGGTGGTTGAGCGCTTGAAGAAGGACGCTTCCAACTTGGCCAAGCTTCGGCACCCATCGATTCTAGAGCTAGTGGAACCGGTCGAGGAGTTGAGGAACGGTGTTTTACAGTTCGTGACTGAAGCCGTCTCCGCGTCCCTGTCCAGTGTGTTGCAGGAAAAGGATGACCAGGAGCGATCAGGAGGGAGGTCGAGTCGGTTTGTCACCGAGGATGCAAGTGGCGCCAAAAAGCGGCGTGAGATTGAAATCGACGAACTTGAGATCCAGAAGGGCCTGTTGCAAGTTAGCCAGGCTCTAGAATTCTTGCACGAAAATGCTGGTCTTGTTCATTGCAACTTGACACCAGATGCTGTGCTTATCAATTCCAAGGTACGCCACAATGGACTTGTACAGGAAACCCCCTACTTTGCAAATGACCTGCTAACATAAACCCGATAGTCTGATTGGAAAATTAGCGGCTTGTCTTTCTGCAGCCCGGCCGACAACTCAACGAAACCGACCTCGATTCAAGGCATAAGCTTGGGCGAGGTGCTGAATATGGACCCTCGATTACCAAGACATGTCCAGCTCAACCTCGACTATACATCTCCCGACTTCGTCATGGACAACAACTTGACTCCATCGGCAGACATGTTCTCACTCGGCTTGCTTGCCATCGCCCTGTACAACTCGCCGCACAAATCCCCTCTCGAAAACCACGGTAGTGTTTCTTCATACAAGAGGTTGTTTTCATCGGGGTCCACCATACCATCTGCGTCCAACGGCTTTTTGTCATCGCGACCCTTGCCAAAGGACCTATCAAGCCACGTGTTGCCCAGATTGATCGCCAGGCGACCCGCCCAACGGATGACCGCCCGTGAATTCCAGGAAAGCGAGTATTTCGACAACGTTTTAGTGTCGACAATAAGGTTTCTGGATTCCTTCCCGGCCAAGACCCCCAATGAAAAGTCTCAGTTTATGAGGGGCTTGAACAAGGTGCTACCGTCGTTTCCAAAGTCTGTAATGGAGAAGAAGATTCTGCCAGCGCTTTTGGAAGAGCTCAAAGACAGAGATCTGCTTTCGCTGATTCTTCAGAATGTCTTTAAAATAATCGAACTGCTACCCTCTGCTCGACGAGCATTCGGTGACAAGGTTCGTCCGGCTTTGAAGGAGATATTCGTGGTCAATGCCAAGCAAGGACAAGAAAAAGACCCGGCTCGAGATGCAGGATTAATGGTGTTTCTGGAAAACTTGTCCCTCGCCGCCGACAACTCTTCTGGAAAAGAGTTCAAAGACGGTAAGCTTGGTTCGCCCTGTCCGGAATGTGCTCTGTCACTAATTCCTTTCCGCCAGATATTCTTCCTGTAATATTGGCCGCCATTGAGTGTTCCACGCCTTCAATCATAGACGCTGCCTTGAGGACGTTACCTTCTGTTCTCCCCGTCCTCGACTTTAGCACCATTAAGAATGAGCTCTTCCCCGTGGTAGCTACAGTGTTCAGCAGGACGAACAGCCTGGCAATCAAGGTCCGCGGCTTGCAAGCTTTTGTCATCCTCTGCGGTGGATCTACGGATGCTGCAGCTGATGACGGTCTGAACGGCCTGATTGAAAATAAAAAGACATCTTCCTCCAGTGCGCTGGATAAGTATACCATGCAGGAGAAAATTGTGCCTCTAATCAAGGCCATCAAGACCAAAGAGCCAGCCGTCATGATGGCAGCTCTCAATGCGTTGCGCATCGTGGGTGAATATGCGGATGCGGATTTCGTAGCAATGGACATCCTTCCTATTCTGTGGAGCATGAGTCTGGGGCCTCTGCTGGATCTGCGTCAGTTTCAGACATTCATGGAACTAATTAAAACGCTGTCAAGAAGGGTCGAGGACGAGCAAACCAAGAAACTGCAAGAGTTGTCGGGCACGGCCAACGCAGGAACTGCCCGTCCCAACGAAGACTTCCTCGCATTCGGTGGCGTCACCGGCACCACTTTTGACAGCAGCACTGGCGGGAATGAGGATGATTTCGAAGCGCTGGTCAAGGGTAAAGGGGGCATGTCGACGTCGTCCAACGGGAACAACGGCTTTCCCAGCTGGGACAAGACACCGTCCGTCATGTCCCCGTCTACCACGACAATCAGGAGTCCATCCAGCACGCCGAAAACACCTTCATTCTCATGGTCTACACAGAACCCCACGAGTCCTTCGACGACGACGACGACGACGACGCAGCCCGCCATGGGCAGCGGCCAACCGGGTTTCCGCACCGTCACGCCAGATCTGGCGCGGTTCAGCACCCTCGCCCCGTCGTCAACACAATACAGCCAACCGCTGCAGCCGACGCAGCCTACACAACCGTCCCTCCAACAGGCTCCGCAGCAAACCCCATCATCAATCAACTGGTCCGCCACGGCAGCTGCAACCTCCAACCCATGGGCTTCATCCACATCAAACTACTCCAACTACTCGAGCCATACGTCCGCACAATCAGGCTCCAGCTTCGGCGGCATGAACACGTCCATGTCCAACATGTCCCTTGGGCAGCAGGCCCGACCTTCACTGGGCGGGAGCGACTCACGAAACTCTTCGTTTTCGCTGCCTCCCCCGCCAGGCAGCAGTTCTTCGCCAAACACCTTGTTCAGCATCAAGCCGCCTCCGGCACCAGGCAGCTGGGGCGCGTCCACCACTCAGAGACCGATGGCATCGATGGGCCATTCCGGTCAGCAGATGAATAATAACGCCGGAGGGAAAAAGTCTTCAGGGCTAGACAAGTATGAAAGTCTGATTTAGAGGAGCCCGTAAGAAGGTGCTGCGTATGTATTGCTAGACTTTGGTGATTGATTGTACAAGCAGGCAGGCGCGAAAATTTAATGCTGTGACGAATATACAGGCCATCACAATTTTGCCTCGCTCTGAATATTCGACTTTTTGTTCATTTCTACGGAGCTATGGTCACTTCACATTAGCATAGAGGGATTTGCAAAAGTCGTTTAATCATGAAATCTACATGATTCTCACATCTAGGATTCTTTACGATACGAGAAAAAAAAGAGCCAAATGCACCACCTATCCCTTTCCGTTTCTCAAAACCAGTGGCTCGGTTATTACTCCCCTCGAAGGGATGTCCGACAACGAATGTCTAACACTGTATGGAATGAAAACAATGAAAAGTCATAAATTGCCGATAGACGCAGTCCAGAACAGAAATATATAATGAAACCAAGGGGCAAGGTGGGGGGACTCCTGTCAAGTGCGTAGCTCCAAAACGCCTGGCTCGCCTGAATATCAAGGATTACCAAAAAATATGCATCTAAAGCATCGTATCCATGATCTTTGTTTAGAAAAAAAAACAAAACTTGTACGCAACTATTTGTATAGAAGGGGATCGCTGATTTTTAGGTTCAAGGGCCTTTTTTAACGCCGTTTGCTTTGGGGACAACTGCCTCAAAGACATGCCTGTTCTTGTAGCCCGTTTCGGGAGTCACGTTGATGACTTGGTTGGGCGGCACCATTTCGTGCCTTAGCGGCCAGCCCAGGCGGCGGCAGAGCTCTGTGACGACAACATCGCAGTCACCTAGGAGGTCGATGTCGAAGTTGATGTGGCCGACTGCCTCACGGGAGATGTAGATCTGGGGCACATTGGGGGAGAGCCAGTTTGAGACTTCGGACACGGGGGTCACCTTGAGGGATGTGCCGATGATGACTACGAGATCGACCTTGTCTCGGTCATGTTCGGTGAGGCGCTTAGAAAATTCGTCAGGAAGCTTTTCGCCGAAGAAGGTAATATCTGGCTTCATGACACCGGCAGAGGGGATGTCATAACCCGAGTCGTCGTCGTCGTCGTCATCGATGTCGGACCACCGTCTGTTGCGGCGTTTTTCAGCCCCCGCAGAGCGCTTTCTCTTGGTCGCTCCGCCGTTGACACGGAGGGACCGAATGCATTTTGGGCATTGGGGGATCTTGCCTGCCTTCATGTCAGGGAAGATGGCCTCGCCTTGGGTCTGGTAGCCGCATTGTATGCAACTCGCTGTTCCAAAGGAGCCGTGGCACTGAATCAGCTTGTCCTTGGGCAAGCCGGCCTTGACTTCGAGGTTGTCAATGTTCTGAGAGTAGTTGGTCAGGAGCTTCCCGCGCTGGTGGAGCATGGCGATGAATTTATGCGTCGGGGTGTAGCGGTCGGTGGCAGGGACGATGTCCTTGGCTACCGAGTAGAAAATGGATGGGTCCTCCTTGAATATGTCAATGTTGAAGACCTCCTGCGGGTCGTTGAGGCCTAAATGCGCCAGCTTGGAGTATAGACCGGTACCCTCGGAGCGAAAGTCAGGGATGCCGAGAGATGTGGAAATGCCGGCGCCGGTGATGACGATGATATTTTTGCATTTCTGGATGAGGTCTACGGCGTCGTCGACCGTGTTGTAGTTGGTCAGCTTGATTCGCTTTGATAACTCCCTGGTGATGGCCAGCGACACGAGATGGGAGTAGTATTCTTCTGTCTTTTCCTCAAGAGAATCAGGCGGATAGACTGAAAAGGCGGTCAGCAGCTTCTTGGCCGAATAGCGACCGCAATCTAGAGTTCTTTTGCAGAAAATGATGGGGCCGTATTCTCGCAGTTCCCGACGAAGTCTGGCAGACTCCTCGGGGGTACAAATATCAGGGGCTATGCAAATGTCAGTCATATTGAATCAATATATTAATGAATGGATGAATAAAGAATCAAGGAGGAAGTATTTAGGGGTTCGAAAGCAAGCAATCAATATTTTGGGCTCGGCACATTGAGCGTATGACTTGGGTAGGTGGAAGTGGTGACGATATAAAGAAGAACAAAACACACGAGCAATCAAATGATGCATTTGAACAAGAAGGAACAAGACTAAAGGGAACAGAAACACAAAAAAAAGAGAGATAGAAATAGGTGTAGATGTAGATGTAGGTGCAGGTGTACATGTAAAAGACTTACACTTTTCCTCAGTGTTCCCCTTGGCCAGTTCCTCAAACAACGAATCCGTCTCCCACGAATCGCGCACATCGGCAACTCTGTGCTCAAGTTCTGCTAAAGACACATGTACGGCAGCAGCTTTACGTTGATCAACAGAGGCGTCGTCTGGTAAGTCTTCGAAGGCGTCGGCCTTGGGCTTTCGCCGCGACAGACCCCCAGCCTTGGCAGCACCACGTTTCATCGTCATTAACAAAACAATTGTGTTAGGCTGACGGGCCGCAATTCCAACAGTAGAAATGTGGAGTTGTGAAAACCAAAGTCCAAATGAGGACCGATGAGGTTCGGTGAGACAAAGGAAGGAGAGCAGAGCAGAGGATGCGAGGGTGTGCGATGTGGTCGAGCGGAAGAAGGAGACAAGGAAGAGGAAGAGGAAGAGGGGGACGGCGACGGCGACGGAGAGAGCAGAGAGAGAGGTTGGGAGCGAAAACAGGCCAAAAAGTCTAAAGTAAGACGTATGTCTGTCTAGACGCCGGGCGAAAATAGGCAAAAGCGAACTTTGGAGCCCTGGAGCCTTGCAAGCACAAAGTCTAAGGCGGACAAAGGGAAATAGAGAAAGTAAAATGTAAGCAAAGATGAAACAACAAGGCCTGACAAGCAGAGCCCAGCAGAGAGAGGGAGAGAGAGAGAGATGGATGTTGGAAATGTCGAGGAGTCAATGTGTGTCAATGTGGGCGGCTGTGAAGAGCAAAAAGACTCAAAGGTTGGTTGATAGGCGGTTGCTCACTCTTCATACCAAAAACCCCCACACACCAGCCTAGTAGACGTCTTTTCGGGGAAAATGCCAGGCAGTTGTGGCCAAAAACAGTTGGCTTCAAGGAGCCAGAGATGAAGTACTGGACAAAACTGCCTTTCTTCACGACTTCCTATGCCAGCCAAGGGTCGGCAGGCGTCGAGATTTCTAGGCGACGCCTCGTGCCGAAATAGAAAAGAAACGAGTCGCGAACAGAGCGAGTGAGTTGTCCTCGTTTGTCTCAGTTGTCTTGGGCATGTGGGCATGTGGGCATGTGTGCGGAATAGGGATCAGGATCGAGCCGGTTGAGGCGGAGGGGAGGGCTGGTTGGCTCGGTGGATTGGATGGAGGGACGGAAGGATGAATGAATGAATGAATGAATGAGATGGGGGCGGATGGGCGCTTTGCCTTTCGTGTGTTGTGTTGTGTTGTGTTGCGTTGCGAAATGTTGGCTATGCGTTTTAAATAAGATGAATGGCACAATAAAATTAACGCCTCTCCAGTGGCAACACACTAAACAACACACGCACGCCGAATACAGCTCGAGTGTTTGAATGCCTGACCTAGATGGCAATGAATGCCCAAGTTGGCGTCGGTGTTGGGATGATGGGATGAATGGAGACGACGGAACTCACTTTGGGTACGTGGAACCAGAGGAGGAAAAAAAAAAAAGAGGCCAAGACGTTGGTTGCAAGACCGTACGACGACCCAAGTGCCGAGTGGGTGACGGTGACGGGTGCCGGAGATCAATTGATGGCAATGGCAATACCAAGTGTGACAGGCGCAAGGGCGAGTGGCCACTTGTTTTGGGGACTCTCGCGACTTCTCGCTCACTCACTTACTCACTCACTCGGGTCTGTGAGACTCGGTACTTGATACTCGATATACTCGGATACCCGGGATCCTTTTGACACGTCGATACCCGAACGAGGGAGCCCAAGTTGTTGCCGTTTCCGTTTCCGTTTTGCCTAGTTGCCTGGCCGGCGGACAAAAGGAGGAGTCAAACAGGTTACTTCGTAGAATGAATGGATCATGACTATGAGATGCAAGCTATGTAAAAACAGCCGTCGACTATGCCGCCACTTCACACACTAGATGAACAACAGTTGAACCCTCCCAACTCGTCACCTATTTGCGTGAACAAAACCCTCAAGTACACAGCATGATTGAATGTCCGTCCCATATGCATTGCTTTCTCGCCAAGCTTTCGTCAGCAATGAGCAGCACAAGGCGGCTTCCTGTTTGAGACGTGTGTCAAAGACATGGGTACAAGAATAGCACCCCAGACATTTTTCCTTGGTACATGATTCTTGTCGTTCATATCCAGACCATGTCCCGTCCCAAGATGCAATACCGTCGACTCTGCCCACCCGAGTTCGCTCCGTCACTTTGAGCAGCAAAGAGGAGGAGAGGAGGCTTCGAATGACGAGCGTGGAAACGAGAAGACAGAGAGAGAGAGAGAGGGAGACAAAAAGGGAGAAAACGCCACACCGCACACAATCACACACAAATCCCCTCTCTCCCCCCCCCCCCCCCCCCCCCCCCCCCCCACCCCCTCGGCGTCATCGTTCATGTCCATGAAGCTCCCCATCTCATGAACCTCTCAATATAGGCTTTCTGTTTATCTACTGCGCTCTCCCATTTGAAGTCTCAAAGGCAGACTCCAGCGGCCATGGCCCCCGAAACACGTTCTCGTGGCGTCCCCCCCCCCCG